CATCCATCCATCCATCCATCCATCCATCCATCCATCCATCCATCCATCCATCCATCCATCCATCCATCCATCCATCCATCCATCCATCCATTTTCTTTAACTATTAACTTTATTCTATGGTTAGTTATTAAATTACATGCAATTAACAATTGCTTGGATTTGGGATTATGGGTTACTTTCAGTTCTTCATTAGATTTTTCAAGATGCCTGCAATACAACAAGAGCTTCAATTTTTACCTTAACATGAGGGGTTAAATGCACCCATGTGTGTCTGGAAGCCGTGCTTTCCCTTTCCACAACAATCTGACTTTGTTTTAAACAGAAGTCTTTGTATGAGAGAGTGTGAGCTCGTGACAGCCAGAGGGAAGCTACAAAGTCCAACACAGTCCAGTAGGACTCAAGACAGAAACAGTAAACATAAGGGAACCACATTTGATTAACTTTAACACACATTGGAAGTTCTATTTAGCTTTATGTTTCTGATGAAGTGAAAATGGTTTCATATTGAGAATGGATTTCACAATGGATTTATTATCATAGTCTCTCAGGCTGTTTACCTGGCCTGTGTCACAGGAGAGAAGAAGTCCTCCCAACAGTGTGCAGTGGCTTCTGTTTTGTCATCTGCTTTGAGAAGATGGAGTGAAAACAGATGAACATCAGCTTGGAGAAACGGTAAAAAAAAAAACAGTCTGAAGATAAGAAGAGGAAGAGATTGGACCTCAGTGCATTAAGTGTACACAGAGACAAACTGATAAAAGGTAGGACCTTCTAATGTAGAATTACCACAATTTCTCCCTGGAAGATCCTTGAAAACTGTTTTTTGTTCATGATTCATAAGTGGAAATTAGAAACTTTTTACATGTTACAACCTCAACATACATACTAATTGTTTTTTTATTTTTTTTTTTACAAAATGCCAAGTAGAGCAGATGCAGCAATGAGACTGAAATGCCTTTAGAAAAGCTACTATCATTGTCCATAAATCCGCCTAGGTCATAGGTTCTTTTTTCAAAGCCCACTCTTCCCCTGTGGTAATGTATATTTAAAAAGTGAACATACGTATAGTTTTTTTCTCAGGAGTTAACATCACTCTTTATTACCCTCATCATTAAAACATACAATATAAATAAGACTTAGGAACTACCCTTTCTGTCATGTTTAGGACTAAACTTAATTAATTTCCATTTAAAGTACTTTATTAATCCCAAAGGGAAATTAAAATGTTGTTGTAACCCATCTCTTTTTTGTCTGTTTATTTTATTTTATTTTTTTAAATAACATCCTAATTAGAACAAGACTGAGCCAGTATAGACTAAGAGCTATTACTATTAATTCAAATTGCACTGTGCCAAAGAAATAGACTTACATTGGTAAAACCACATCTGAACCGACCATAAGGCTTCCTGAAGTACATTCTATCATCAAAATGAGACCAAAGTAAGGTGGAAATTCTTGGCCACAATAAGCAGTTATGCCTGGTCACACCCACCAAGCAAATCAAAAGATCTTTAGCTAAATATCTACCATGGGTAGCTGGGATTCAATAGGTGGTATTCATACCAATGTATTCCAGAGTCAAATGGGACTCCTTCGGTTTAACTGACATTTGAAATTGGCTTTGAGACAGTGATTCACGTCTTTGTCCACCAGATGGATTACTGTAATGTACTGGTAAGTAGTTCCTCTACTTACCTGCACCAAAGGATCCAAAATTCTACTGGACAACTGTTAGACCATCCAAAACACTGTCACATTTGCCCTGCTTTATCATCAGGATGCTTGTCTGTCCATTTTACATTCTAAAATTTCTATTTGCCTTAACATCTTTGAACCTTTTTACTACTTCCTTACAAACCTACCCAGCAGCTAAATACTCCTCTGGGATATAACGAAAACAAGACTTAAGCTCAAAAGGATCAAGAGTTTAAAGTAGAATTTCCTAAACTGTTGAACAAATTGCCTCTCCATGGTCTCTTCATCATATGTTTTTTAAATCCTTATTAAAGCTTTTATTCCCTTTCACTTTAATCAGTTTGCTAAGAATGAGTTTCATATTACTGCATATTTTAAGAGAGTTTTATCTGTTTTTATGTAAATGACTGTTTTGCTGATTTTTGTTTAATGTTTTATATTCATGTGGTTTTTTTAAAGTGCTTTATAAATAAAGCTGTTTTGGATTTGATTGGGTCATAAACTGGTTTCAAACTTTCAAACTGTTACAGTTTCCCTGCCACAAACCAGTCTTTCCTAGAAGTCGAATTTGTAATGTTCTCTCCCGACCATGTACTGTTTAGTTTTATA